AAAATTTAAAAAAAATTAAAAAAAAAAAAAAAAAAAAAAAAATGTATATATATATATATATATTGCTATTTCATAGAAATAATAAAAATATATTAATTTCTAAAATGAATCATGTATTTATGAAAATTAAATTTTTTAGCATATATTATATTATGTAATCAGTTTTTATCATCTTAATATATAAACAAATTTTTTATAAAATTCCACTTAAAAAAAAATAGAATTAGTGTATAGTTACAAGTATTTTTTTTAAAAAAAATTAAAAAAATATAGCCATACATTTATTTAAAGAAATATATTTTACTAATGTCCAAATATATAGATTTATAAACATTTTTTTTTTTTAATTTAGTTTTTTAATTAAAAAATAGTTAAAAATATTATTTATTTTTTTTATAAAATGTGAGCTATTAGTTGTAGATAAATTATATAGGATGAATTTATTTTGTGTTTTTTTTAAACTCAAAATTAAAGAATTCTAAATGATTATTATTAACAACATATATAAAAAAAAAAAAAAAAAAAAACTTTTCATATTATAGAGATTAACTATTTCCTTTTATTAAATATAGATGATAATTACTAATTTACTTTAATTTGTGTAATTTATTAATGTGAAAATATAATTATTTTTATTTCTTATATTTTTTACGTTGTATTTCTCATAAATAAACTACTTTTTAATGTTAACGTAAACACAGAAACCTTTTTTTAAGATATATTTCCAATTATATGTTCTTATATTTTTTTTTTTTTTTTTTATATTATTATGGAGGTAATAATTTCTTTACTTTTTAAAAATACTTAGGATTCTAATAGATCAAAATAAAAAAGCAAAAATATTAAAAAAGACAAATTAAGAATATTTAACGTTTTAAATAAAATTAATTTTTCCTTTAAACACATAAAAAGATCATTTATTATATAAGAAAAGGAATAATTAAAAAATATAAATCTTAAGAATGTTACTATGCGAATATAATAATCGTAGTACTTTAAAATAAAATTATTGTATGAAATTCTAAATGAAAAAATAAAAGATGATTATGAAAAAGTATTAGATGACATTTTATATAATAAATGTGGAAATATTTAAATAAAAATTACAAAAATTGAAGGAAAGGAGTGGAATATTTAAAAAAAAATTAAACAGAGAGGGGAAAAAAAAAAAAAAAAAATAAAAAAGTTGTACATTCATTTTTTATATGATAGCAATTTAAATAATGTGATTATTCAAAAAATAATAGATTTTGTAAAATTTAATTTATATAATTAAACTTTTGAAAAAAAAAAAAAAAAATATTCGTATATGTTTTATATATATCTTATTATATAAGTATAACTTTATCTTTTTTGTATGACGTTTGATTTATACAGTATTTGTAATACTAAAAATATTTCTTAATGTAATTATTCATTTTTCTTTTTTCTTAATATAGTTAAATAAATTTCTTACCTAATTTTTTCTTTTATTCTCGTTTTATATTTTTTTTTAAACACTTCATAAATACATAAATGAATAAAGTTATTAAATATAAAAAAAAAAAAAAAAAAAACAAATAAGAACAAAAAAATATATATTTAAAAAAGATACATAAATAAAAATTTTCATAAGTATAAGGAGATATTAAAAGATTAAAACAATATATAATAATTAAAGCCTAAAAAGGTTAAAATAATATTAATAAAAAAAAAAAAAAAAGAAAAAAATATAAAGAAAAACGTTCAATACTTAATAAAAAAAAAAAAGACTATTATAAATGTTAAAAGAGATTTAAAAAAAAAAAAAAAAAATTTTCATAAAATTTTTCTAATTATAGTATAAAATATTTTTCTTTTTATTTAAAAAAAAAAAAAAAAAAAAGAATTTTGTTATTAATTCAAAAATTTTTTTTTACTTCTCAACATTCTTTGTGATGTTTCAGCTAATTTCTTCTCATCACTGTTCCTATTTTCATACGAGTTATTTAGATCCATAGAATCTGTATGTGGAAAACAATTCTTTATAATTTCTAACACAAAAGAATTATTAAAAAATTTCTTTTTTTCACAAATTGATACATTAGATAATAAATGTAAAAGATGTAGTGTTCTTTGATACTGATAAATAAAATGAGGCAACAATACAAATTTCTGTGTTTGTGAGTAGAAAGTAACAAAAAAAAAATTATAAAATAAATTCTGAAAATTGTTTATATTTTTATCCTTTTTATCCACAATCAATGATAAAAAAGCTTTGTTTAAAAATATATCAAAAATTAATTTAATTGAATTAAATGGTAGAAATTTAATATTACTAAATATTAAATTAAGAATCTCAATACATAAGTGAAATTGTAATAAGGAATATTTTTTTTTATTATATATATATGAGTTCATTTTTAGTACTTCAAAATTTTTTTTGATGTATTTTTCATCCATTTTATAAAAAACTTTCATTATTTTAATTAATTTAATTTTACAAAATAATATATAAAAACAACAGTAAATAATATAATCCAATAAATTATATTTTGTAAAATTTTTATCTTTAATATCTTTTTTAAATTGATCATTTATTAATAGCTCATTTTCTTTATCAAATAGTAATGAAGCTGATAAAAGAGTATATATAAATTTACTTGAAAAATTATTTGGAAAATAGTTTACTTTTTTTAAATTTTTTTTTACATTAAATGATGATGCTATCATAATTTTTTTTTTTTTCCTTATGAGAAATACTTTATCAATATTTTTATCCATTTTATTTTTATAATATCTACTTGGATAATAATTGTAATCTTCTAAATCTTCATAACTTTTTATATTTAATATTTTTTTTATGTTTTTATGAAACTTTTTCTTATTTATAAAATCTATATTTTTATATTTGTTTTCATCAATTAAACTAATCAAATATTTTACTAGAAAAATTTTTATGTCTTTTATTTTTACTTTATATTTTTTTTTGATATTATTCATATTTAACTGATATGAATTTTTGTGCATTTTCTTTTTTCTATCCTCTTTTTTATGCATTTTTTCATGGTTTAAAGTTAGTATAAATTCTTCTTTTGTTTTTACTTTTAATAAAAGACAAATTAAAATATAAAATAATGATAAGATAAAACATGAAAGCTTTTTATTTGTTTTCTTTTGTAATGCTTTATTTATTCCCATGAATATAATATTTTTAAGAATAATAAAGTTGTTTTCATAAAAAGTTAAATAATAGAAATAAAAGGAACAAATAAAATTTATATAAAAGTTAATTAGATGCAAAAACAAATTATCTTCTAAATCTTTTTCATTACTTTTGTTATGAAAAACTGACTCTTCTAATTTAGAATACTCATTCGAATAAATATTCAATGGATTTAAAAATTTTTGCTCATTTATATTATGATTTTGGTTATTTTCATTGTTATTTATATTTTTTAATTTCTTGTCATTTTTATTTTTTTTTAAGTCATCATTTATTAAAATATTATTATTTAATTCCTTTTTTTTAGAGGATTTATTAAAATATTTTTTATTTTTTTTCTGGTTATTTTGATTATCACTTTTACTTCTATAATTATCTACATCATCTTTTTCACTATCTATCATAAAATTTTTTTTACTTTTTATATCTTCAAGTAAATTATTATTAACAGTTTCTTCTACGGTAGAAGTCGTTACTTCCTTAAATTCGTCTTCAGTTATTTTATTAAGATAATTATCATTTTCATTGTTATCATATTGAAGTAAAATATTATTTTTTATATTAGAATTTTTCTTTTTTAATATTTCCACATAGGTAGAACAAATAATCAAAAAGTTATGAATAATTATTTTATTAATATATGTATTTTTTGAATTAATAAAAATAGAACAGAATGATATAAAAAAAAAAGGTATTTCCGAATTTTTATAAAGTGATATATACAAAAATGAATTTATAATTAATTTTATCATATTAGGTATATTTTTTTTTCTTACTTCTCTTAAATAATAAAATAAATATTTTACAATTTTTTCTAATCCTTTTTCAATGTTAAACATTTTGCAAAAATCAATTAATTCATTTATTTTATCATAATTTTCTACAAAAATATCTATATCATTTAAATTTTTATTTTTTTCAAAAACAAATATACTTAATAAAAATAATTCTACACCTTTGTAAAAAGATTTTTTTAATTTACATTCTTTGTAGTTGTTTATGTTATGTTTTTTGTTAAAGTTTAATTTGTCTAATTCATTTATTATTTTATGATAATTTAATGATATTTTAAAAGAAGTTTTTTCATTTATATTGTCGGAGATATTTTTTTCTTTTATTTTTCTCAATTTTATATTTTTATTTATATCTACCACTTTTTCAACTAATTCTTTCTTTTCATTTATTTCATTCAAATCTATTTTTTTTTGAACGATTTCATTTATATCTTTTTTTTCTTCCCCAATAGCTTTATCATTATCTTCTTTTTTATTTTTTGTTTCTTTTTTATGTTTATTTTCTACAGAAGCGTTAAATTTTCTTTCTTTTTTATTTATACCTTTACTTGAATATTTAATTGTTTCTGTTACAATTTCAGTGTTATCATTAGATTCTTTTTTTATGTTTAGTAAATCTTCAGATACTCTATTACAATCAGTAACTTTTATTTCAATTTTTTTTTTATCTATGTCATCTATATCACTATATAAAGGACATATTTTATTTTCTTTTTCATTATTAATATTCTTTTTATTTACGTTAATTTTTTTTATATTTTTTAAATCAGAATTATCACTATATTTATCACGTCCTTCATTACACTTTTTTTTAATTGTGTTTATATAATTTTCATTATTTTTAACACATATTTGTTCATTTTTTTCTTCTAAACATTTATCAATTTCTGTAAAATTTGTGTTATTATTATTTTCATTTTCTTTCAATGAATAATTTTTTTCTGTAAATAAAGTGTTTGAATCCTTTTTACTTATAGTATTTTCATTTTTATGATTGTTTTTATTTTTTTTTTTTCTATTATCATTTTTTTTATCGTTTTCAATTATAAGTGAAGAAGTAATTTCATCTTTTACATAAATGCTATCATTGAAATTTGTATCTTCATTTTTTATAAGTAAACTTTCACAATCGTAATTATCATTTCTTTTGTTTTGACATTCATATTTTTTATTATATTTTTTTGAAAAGGAATCAGAAATTTTCTTTTTTCTATTTTTTAATTTAGAATAAAAATCACCAATTTTATTTACTAAAATATCTTTAAATTTTTCATTAAAAGTAAAATATTTCAAAAATTTAAAAATATATCTTTTAGTATATATATCAATTAATTGATTATCCAATGAATGTATCATTTTAAAAAAAAAAAATTCAAACGGTGTTGTATTATATTTATTTTCTCTATTTAATAAATATAGTATTTTTAATAATTTTACAAAAGTATAATAAAATTTTTGTAATTCAAGTATAATTAATTTTTTAAAATTTTTTAAATTTAACAACTCCTTTTTTTTTGTTTTCTTTTTTAATAAAAGCTCTACATTTATGTTAATTAAATGTTCTTCAATTAATGTTATAATAATAAAATAATTTCTTAAAAAAGATAATAATTCTGTTATAAAATCTTTCACATTTTTTATATGAGTCAAATTATTTTTTTCTTCTTTATTATTATATGTATCCAAATAAAAAATGTTATTTAGATTATTATGTTCATTTTTAATAAAAGAAGAAAAAAAAAGAAAACGATTAATATATATATTTAAGAAACAAAAAATACAATTAAATATATAATAAATATAAGTATTGTTGTAACAGTTTAATCCTTTTAACTCTAAAAAATAAAAAATATTAATAAAAAAGAAATTCTTATAAACTTCTTCTTTTAATTCTTCTTCATTTTTATTATTTAACATAAGTTTTATTTGTGAATCCTTACTAAAAAAATCATTTATGTTTATATTTTTAAAACTAAAGTTTTCTATTTTATTATTTTCTTTTCTTTTTTTCAAATTATTTGATTCACTTAAATCTATAAGATAATAATTATTATTTTCTGTAGAATTCAAGCACTCCTTATTTTTTGTAATTAAATTATTTAATATTATGTTAATCTCATCTGATGATATTTTAAAAATATTCTTAAAAATTTTGAAATTCGTAATATTTTTGCATTTTTTAAATAACAACATAGATGAAAATAAATAAAGATCTTTAGAATTTTTTATAAATAACACATATATATGTTTTAAAGTTTTATCATATTCTGATTTTTCATTTAAATAACATTCTTTATTTTTATAAAAGAAATCAACATAAAGAAGATTGTTATAAATAATTTTTTCATAAAATTCATTAAGAAAATTGGTTGATAATATTTTCGTACACAAATATAACAAGTTTAAACATAGATTGCGAAATTTAACATAAATATAAATGTTTGTATCCGGTTCTTTCAAAGCATTAAAAACACATAAAAAAAAATTTTGATAAATTGATTTTATAATGTAATTTTTTAATATTTCTTCTTCATATTCAAATATTTTATTTTTTATGAATAGTAAAAATAACTTAGTCATCATATAAAATATTCGTAGACTAAAAAATCTAATAATACAACCCTTATTAATAAAACATTCCAATAAAAAATTTATAATGTTGTTTAATAAAAAATTGTTTGTATCACTTATTTTTATATTATTTTCTTTTTCCCTCAAATAACTCTTCTTTACATCTTCACGATTTTCTGATTGAATTCTATCATTATTTTTTATTAAATTGGAAATTACCATTTTATTACTGAAATCATTATTTTTATTTTTAAAATATTCATTATTCAATTTATTATTTAAATCATTTTTTAAATTATTATTCTTCATATTCATCTTTCTTTTAATTTTATTCGCATGAATTTCAAATAATATATGCCATAAATTTTTTTTTCTTTTATTATTTTTAAATAAATTAAATACTAGATTTAATAATAGGTAGCAATTGTAATTATTAAGAGTAGAATTATTATGTTCATATCTTTTGTTTTTAATAAATCTATCAATTTTAGCTAAGATGAACATATATATTTTATATTTATTTATTTCATTTATATATTCTAAGCTTTTCAACATACAAGAAAATATTTTCTTAATAACAATAATATATTCATCTTTAAAATTATTTTCAACACATTTTAATAAAATATCTAATATTTCTAAAAAGTTTTTATTGTAAATTCCTGTTAATATATCTATTACCATTTCATGAATGCTTTTCTTTTTATTATTTATATTATTATCATTTATAATACTATTATTTTTATAATTCCATGTATTATTTTCACATTTATTCTTATTTATATAAAAAGAGTTGTTGTAATTACAATTGTAACCGTTAATATAATTATTAACGCTATTATTATAATAAAAAGAATTGTTATTATTAAAAATATAATCACTGCTATTGAATAAATTAGTACTTTGAATACTTTTATTAATGTAATTACTATTATTTCTATAATGATTATTAATATAAAAATAACTATTGTCAATATTATTATTAAAAACATTTTCATTATTGTTTATATTGTAATTAAAAATGTTATTATTAATATTATTAAAAAAATGATCGTTATTATTTATATTGTTATCAAAAGTTATATTGTTATTTGAAGTAGTATTTACATTATTAAAAAAAACATTGTTGTTATTAAAAACAAAATCATAATTATTTAAAACATTTTCATTATTATTTAATGAATTCAGAGTATTCGAATTTTCTATTTTTATTTTGTTTTCTTCCGCATATTCTTCTTTCTTTTTATTAATTATGGGAAATTTATAATTATTTGAATTTAAAAAAGGGTTGTGAAAATATTTGAAATTTGAACTACATTCATTTTTTATATTTTTCATAAACGCTTCATCAGATTCTTTATTTACATTTGATTCATTTGTATAAATGCTCTTAAAATTATTTTTAGCCAATTTATTTAGAAATGAAAAAATTAAAAAAATTAATTTTAAAAAATAAATTAAAGATAAACATAAATTGTTTTTAACTTTATTTATCATAGCTTTTATTTGATTAATAATAATTTCAACATTATTTAATAAAAATTCTTTATATCTATTTTCATTATCATAATAAAATAAAAACTTTTTTTTATTTTTTAAATTAAATAAATTAATATATATATTTAAAATTATATTTACAAACAAAATATTTTCATCTTTTATATCTGATTTAATGGGGATGATATCTTTCTTTTCTATTTGATCTAAGTCTTCTTCAGAACTTATAATTAATGATTTTGTTTTGTCTACTCTCTGCTTTTTTTTTTCTTTTTCTAATATTTCATTATTTTGGGAGTTTTTTTCTTCATTTACACTTTTGTTTATATTAATTTCATTTTTGTTAATTAATTCTTTTTCCATATTTATTTTTTCGCTATTTGTACTTTTTATTTTCATTTTTTTTTTTTTTTTATCATTTTTACAGATAGATAATCTTTTATTTACACTTTCATGACTTTCATTTTCGATTAAATTATTGCATTTATCTAAACTACAACTTATACCTGTTTTAATTCCATGAATATCATTTTTATTGCATTCATTTAAATTTTCATCATTACCTTTTTCATTTATAAATTCCTTATTTTGTTTATTTATATGTTTCTCTTTGTGTACTTCATTAGAATCCCCATTATTGTTTATTGTAATAATATTGTTACTTTTAGATTCACATTTTTTTTTATTTTTTATGCATTTCTCTTTTTTTATTTCATTAAATTTTTCTATAACTTTTCTTTCTTTTTTTTTTTTTTTTTTTTCAAAATTTTCCTTTTCTGTAGTTTTATATATCTCAACATTTTGAGTTTTTTTTTCATGTAAATTATTTATAGTAATATAGGTAGGATAATTTTCATTTTTTAATATTTCATCATAAGAAGATGAACTTTCATCTTCATCAACCGAAAAATAGTTTTCATTAATTATACTAAAATTTTTTGAGTAATACTGCCAAAATATTCTATATATAAGCTCAGAAAACTTTTCATTAGGTGAGATAAATGTATCATATTTCGATATTAATATACAAATATACGATAAAGAATTTATTAAATTTTTATGATAGTTATAAGAAAGATTTGAAGAAAAATACAAAATTTTAATAATTACCAATATATACTTTTTATAAATAGCTTCACATGTATTTTTAAATTGTTTATCAGATTTTATTTTATTTTCATATTCATAATTATTCCTTTCTATATAAAATGTACTTTCTTTTAAATTTCTCTCTTTTAATATTTCATTATAGATTATTGCAATAAATTCGGTGTGACATATTTCTTTTATTAAATTTGTTATAAATAAATAGTGTCTTTGAAATTTTCTAAAAGTAAAATTTTCAAAATTTTTTATAATATATATTAATTTCTTTTCACATTCATCAAAAGAATTATATTGAAATATAAATTTTTCAATGATATCCCTAACTCCATCATTTTTTATTAGATTATTCATATATAAATCATATTTACTTAATATATTATCAATGCTTAAAAGATGACATTCCTCCTTACATATTTCCATATCTTACAAGATGAAGAATAAAAAAAAAAAAAAAGAAAAAAAAAATTAAAAATTATGTTTATATAAATGAAACATTGTATTCTATAAAAGTAAATCAGAAAAATTAAGAACCATGATAATTATAAAAAATGTTATTCTTTTCTAAAAATGACATAAGAAAAAAAACAAAAAAGAAAAAATAATATAAATATATATATATAAGTTTTATTTTATATTTTTCTTCATAAAAATAAACCTATTTATTATTTTTAATTAAAATTTTGAAATTTTATTGGAAATATATAAAAAAGAAATATACATATATATATAGACGAATTTGTTCAGACATTTAATGATCTCTAAATAATAAGTTTTTAATAACAAAAATTTAAAATGTATGTGTTAAATAAACTTCAAATAAGATGAACATAATTAAAACAAAAACATTTGCATAATAGAAAAAAAAAAAAAAAAAAAAAAAATTTTATGGATATAAAATTTAAAAGAAACAATTTTTCTATAAAAAAAAAGGAGATTTCAAAAATAATAAAAATTTAGCAAATACAATTCATATAATTTTGAAAATCCAACAGAAAGTTAAAAATGCTATTTCACGAAAAATTTTAATAAAAAAAAAAATATTTAATTTAGATATTGTAAAGCACTATAATGTATAAATATATATATATAATTATGTAATATTAATAAGGTTATAAAAATTTATAAAAAAAAAATATATAATAATAAAAAACATAAATATTCACTAAAATAAATAAGAAAATCATATATAGAATATCAATATGATAATAAAATATAATTTAAATCATTAATGAGAAAAAAAAATGAGATTGTATATTATATTACTTTTATAGAAAAGTATAACACAAAAAAAAAAAAAAAAAAAAAAAAAAAAAAAAAGTAAGGATTACATATAATTTAGTTTTGAAAAGTAAATGCATTTCAATAAAGATAAAAGTTTTTAATTAAACATTTTGTAAAAATAATTATATTTCATTTTTTATTTAATTTTAATAATTCTCTTTAAAAAATGTTTTTTTATGTATAAAAAAATATATATGCATATAAATATGATTTTTTTTAGTTATCATCTCAAATTTTTAAAATAAATAATTCATGATTAATTTCATAAGGAAGCAAAATATTAATATAAAAACTATTAATTAGGAGATAATTCATATAAATATTTCCTTTTTATTTTATATTATTTTTTTTTCCTTTTTGGTATATATATAAATTCGAATGTTTAAAAAAAGAAATTGATCACAAAAAAACTTAAGCTATAGAACAATATACCAATAATTAACAAAAAAAAAAAAATTAAAAGTAAAATTAAATTATAAAAAAGGAAAAAACAGTTTGATAATAATACAAATAAAGCATAATTATCATAATTTAAACAAATCAGTTGAAAGAAAAAATAAGAACACGAAAAAGTAAAATAAATCAATATAGAATAACAAAAAAGAAAGGTCAAATTAGATACAACATAGTAATTAATCTGATTTTTTATATCATTAGGTAAAAAAAAAAAAAAAAAAAAAAGAAAAACATTATTGTTTATATAAAATCCACTTCATAATCGTCCACTTTTATTTTAAGAAATAAATAAATAAAGTTTTTATAAGTGGAAAAACAATATTATTATTGCAAAGAATTAAAATTTTCTAATGTGAAATTTGTTAAAATATTATGATGAATTTCATTAACATTCTTGTAAACATTTATTATAAAAAAAAATAATAATGTATTCTTATATATATACCATAAATTTTTATTTTAATTAGCTACTATATTCCTTTTTTTTTTTTTTTTTTCTTTTTTTTTCTTTTTTTTTTTTTTTTGAATGATAGCAAAAACATATATCTATAGTACATCTTCCTCTGATGAAGAAAAAAAAGTAGAAACTA